AAATACTTGCATCCTCTGCGCAGCCGCTGACAATTTCCGTTAGTTGTTTACATAAAGTGCCCTCAGAGAGAGGGAGTCACAGCTGATCTCAATTTGCATGAAGGGTGAGTTCAGGTCTGATGCGCTAACTGGGTCGCTTCCCTCTGGTTAGTCTAGATCAGTTCGATCGTCGCTACCGCGTTCCCCATGGCGTGGGCACAACCGTCACTTTCGAAGCACCTACTGCACTCTGTCTTTTCTCACACACCTTCCTCCTGTGAGACAACTAGCCAGGGCAACTGCACGTTGGGGTGGATGCAGTAGCTGCCAAAACTAAAATCCACCCATGTGCCAAAGACACACACACTACCTGATCCCCACACTGCCCGTTTTCAAATTAGTTAATCGTTTTCAATCAACACGAAGGTTTTGAGTGAGTTAGAGTTAATCAGTCAGACAGTTCTCATCAGATCCTGAGTCAGTTTTACTGGCACTGAATTTGGAGTGCGGGGGTGGTGGTGGATGAGTGCGTAGCCTCCTTCGTACCTTCTCTTCCCCTTTTACGTGCATCTGGGATATAAAAAATGCTCCAGATGCGATTAAGCCGCGTGACTGAGGGCGTTTTGTATTCGATGATGTGTTAAACACCGCGCGATGTCGTGGGCGTATTATTGAGTCAGCTGACGTAACACCGCGGCGTCTAATTAGCAGTTGCCTGTACCAGCATCTGCGAAGCAGTAAAAGCAGGTATGCATTTTTGTTCGCTCGCACTACCCCATTGTGTCAGCCTCAATCGAATTAGGCAAACTAAAAACCGCTTGAAAAAAAGACCTATTAAATGCGCGCGAATATCTAGTGGGCTGCACTGATGCGCGACCTGTTTTGGATCGGAGATTGGTATTTTGTTATCTACCGACAGTAGCTAAAGTAGAAACGATCGATCCAGTTTAATTTGTTGCACCAGTAGTACTCCTCAATTACTGCGTTTGCGATTACCATCAGGAATTTTCCCTAAAATGGTACTTTTATCAAATATTAATCCAATGTCAAGACGGGGACTTGAACTAACCAGCAGAATTAAACGCATTTTGTAAATTTTCGCATAAAACCGTTGGGCTACGAACAATTAAAGTGTGCCTAAGGAATATATTTAACTTTTAGTAGAGGTTGTGTGACTAATCGGCATCCTTTTGATCTGCTTGTACGTTCTACCATTAAAGGTAAAAAAAATTCCCTTCGCGGGCAATATAGCCGCGACTGCTCCGAGTGGCACTTGCATACGCCACCACCCTCCCCCCCC